TAAAAATTCAATTAATATTTTTAAAAATTTTAATTCAATAATACATATGCAAATTCTTTATAAACTTAATACAAAATATTATCATTATACAAAATTTTATTTGCAGATATTTCAAATATAGTAAGCACTGGCTATCACAGTGTCTGTTACATTTATTTTTAAATAAATATTTTTATTATATAAATTTTTCTTATATCAAATAAATTATTAAAGTTATTAAATATATAAATAAATATTAAATAACATATGAAAATATAAAAAAATATATTATTTTTAAAAATAAATAATTTTTGTATCATTGGCACATTTTTATGTAAAATAAAATAACTTTTTTATGTAAAATAAAATAAAAATAAAATTTTTAATATTATAATTAATACTGAGATTGCATATGAAAAAATTAAAATTACAAAATATTACTTTCTAAATCTATATATTTTCTTTATATAAAAAAAAGAAATTTATATTTTTTTTTAAAAGAAAAATTTTTGTATATGTAACTTATTATAATTACAAGTTTCAATATTATATTTAAAATAATCTATAATTTTTTTAGGAACTTGAAATATCTAATAATTCATCATTAATAAAATTAAAAAAAGTAAAATTTCTTATCAATAATATTTAATAATTATTTAAATACAATAAAAATTTGTTGGTATCTATATTTATTATAAATATTAAAAAATATATAACATCTACATTTTCAAGGATATTTTATAGAATCTTTTTTTGTTCTCATACTAAATTTCTAGCCAAATTAATAATAATTCTTATGATGATTAATATATAATTTTATAAAATATCAGAAAATAATATTTCTCATTTGAAAATCATATCATAATACATTTCTAATTCAATTTTTTATACTAATTTGGATAAGATTAAAATCATAAAAAGAGATTGTAAAGTCTCAATATTAATATTTATAGTAAAAAACAATTATTAAGTAGATAATGTAAATTATATATTTAGAAAAAATTATTTTCCTAATTTGTATATAATGTATTATAAGATTAATTTTTAATGAACAAAATCTTAAAAAGAAATTTTACCAGGAATTTCTGGATTTTCAATCACACCTCTAAAATATTTCAATTCTAAAAAATCCCTAATATTATTTGGACATGGTACTTGTCTGCCAGCAAACTCAATACTTGACATTGGATGAAGAAATTGCTCTGGAAAATCTTTATTATTTAAAAACCATGCATCTTTAACCATAGAACCATTTTTAACATAAAATGGAAGTATATTTACAGTTAAATGATTTATTTTTGAATACTGCACTTTAAAAAATTCCCCTTCTGTTGCTTTTTCCCAAACAAAACCATGATTATCAATAATAGGTTTATTCATGGCTTTAATTAACCATGGTGATCTTTCAAGATCATCACGATTTACTCCTATTTGTACTTCATGATCCCATGGTAAAATATCACCATTTCTCATAGCACCAAGTAAAGATCCACTTTCTAACCAAAATCTGATACCAACTTCTTCTAATTTATCAAATACATGATGAGCAACTTTCCTTAATCCTGAGAGGCAACAAGGTGGGGTATATCGATTTTGATAAAGATAAGAAGGAACACCATTTATAACTGATCCAAAACATCTAATACTGTCTCTAGAACAACCATACCATTCTATAGAATTGGAAGTTCTTATAACTTTTTTAATTCCCAACTTTTCAAACATAGATCGTTCGCGATTTTGATATAATTGTTGTACCTTCCATTGAAATTGTTGGTTTTTATACAATGACTTTCCTTCATTAAAATGATAATTTGATAACATATGAATCTGGTAACATGTAATAAATTATCTACTAGAATCAATTTTACTAATTTTATTAATATTATTAATATGTGTTTATATATACTAATTATATATTACTAATTGAATTATTTTTATTATAAATTTAAATTATTATAACATTTAGAAAAATAAAAAACACAAAATTTTTAAATATTCAAAATTATAAGAAAAACATCCACTAAATTAACTTAAATAATTTATTTAAAATTTTTGTCTTCTTTTAATATAAAATTAATTAAAAATAAAATTAAGAAAGTTCAAATTAAATTAAATTAAAATTAAAAAAATACAAACCTTTGCTCCTAATGCAGTTGTTTGAATGTATAATGCATCCGTAAAAGGTAATAAGAAAGGATCAGTTAATTTTTTTAATAATTTAGTTTCAAGCATTGTAGCATGTTTTCCATTTACTCCATCACATTCATTACCAGTTATATATGAAAACTTGACACTCCATTCCTTCACTTTTAAATCTATATGAATGCAATTTAAAGTTATACTTCCTACTGGTACACTAACTATTCCTAATTTTGTAGCTTGTGATACAGTTTCCTATAAAAATTTTAAAATAATATTATATATATTATATTTATTTATTATAATAATTAAGAATAAAATTTAAAAAATTGCTTTAAAAGAGAATAATAAAAGTATATAATGTTTCTTACTTGTATGATTTGCTTAGTAGAAAGTCGACTACCATCAGGTAAGAATAAAACAAACTTTGTTCGTACATAAAAAAGAGGATTTCTTTCATCATAAGATTTATTAAATTCCGGTTGCAAATTTATTAATTTAACGTTCTGCAAACTTTCATTTGCAAAGTCTAAATCCAATGGAGGATATGGCAATTCATTGCTTATTATTAAAATTGGTATAGTAGGAAAAAAGCTTAATACAGACTCTACAGTTGAAGTCACATCATTTTCAAAAGTTTCAAATTCTCGTATAACCACAGTTACTAATCGAGCTAATCGACGATGAAATTTTTGTGGAGGATCAGGAGTAACGATATTTGGTGTCAACAACCGTAAAGTGTTTTGTGTAGCAAATAACCTCCATATTCTATACCATACAATGATATTACCTAATAGTGCAAGCACTAATAACGTTCTTACAAACTTAAAACGCATAATTATCGCTTATTATGCGATACCATTGTAAATTAAGTTTTCTTTACTTCATTTTTTTATGTATTATAACATTTCTAAATTACATTTAAATGTTTGACAAATCATAATATCTCTATACATTTCAATTTATTTCTCAGCATTACCAATCTATCATTTTCCAAATATAATATAAGAATAACACAAATATTATTTTTATATAATATTATTGTTTAATAAATGTTTCTATATTATTATAAAATCTTAATACTTCATGTATTAAAAACAAAATCTTTATTTTGAAATTTAGAAAGTTTAAAATCATTTGGCGCTATCTGGTGACATTATAAATGTAAATGTTTAGAATACTGCTTTACTGTTGTTTTTACATAAACGTCAAGATCTACATTTGTAGCATTCGGTGTTCTAATAAAATTAATAGGAAGATAGTACTTATTCTGTGATTGTTATAATTTAAATAGATAAAAAATAGTGAAGTTTAAGTATATTTTGAGAAAGAAATCTTTCTATTAGTGCACTATGCCTCTCCATCGTTATACTCATGCAGTTTTATGCAGAATTCCTCTTTCACTTCGTACAAGAGGCGAGGTCACATTAGATGAAGCTAGAACTCAACATTTGGCACTTGCTCAACTTTTGCGAGAACTCGATATCGATGTTGTTGAAATGCCACCAGATGAAAACTCACCGCTTTGTGTTTTTGTTGAAGATATTGCAGTTGTATGCAATGGTATTGCACTTATAGCTCGGCCCAATGAACCGTCGCGTCTAAAAGAGGTATATTTATATAAAATTTTATAAAAATTAATAAATATTTTTAATTAATATTATTATTATTATTTTACAAACAAAAAGATTCTAATTCATTGCATCTTTGTAAGAAAATCATATTTTAATATATATGAATAATAATATATATATATATACATATAATTTAAAAAACAAAATTTAAATTATTTCTTTGTGTTTGCAAAAAACAAAATAAATTTATTATATTTTCATGTGGATTAATGTACATTATGTAATAATGTACATTATTATATTAATAATGTTTCTAATATATGAATGACTAGACTAATGATGTAATTCTAGATTGAGACAATTAGAGCTGTTTTAAAGAAAGAATTGGAAATTCCTCTTATAGAAATAGCTGATAAAAATGCTCGTTTAGATGGAGGAGATGTTTTATTTACTGGTAAATTTTGTTTTAATTATTAAATTATTATATAATAATTATATAATAATAAAAAAGAAATTATTAATTAAAAATAATTGTTTATAGGTCGTGAATTTTTTGTTGGATTATCTCATTATACAAATGAAGCAGGTGCAAGAGCAGTTGCAGCAGCATTTCCAGAATATCCCTGTGTACCTATTAAGGTTAGTAAATTATTGATTAATAATTACTAAATAATTAAATTGATAACTATTTAGTATTTATTAATATATTAATATAATTTGTATAGTTATTTGCTTCTTAATATATATTATATATTATATTAATCTTTGAATCTTGTATTTTATATAAATCTATTTCTAATATTTCTTTATTCTGAAAATGTAAAATATATTGCATGAAAATTATTTAATTAAATATTTCTTAAAATAAAAAGAATTAATGTTGTTTGCTTTATAATTTTATTCAATATTCTTATTTGTAGCATAACTTGTGTCATCAAAAGTATTATGTGTTATAAGGATATCAAAATGTATATGTATATTGTGATTGTTTTAGAAATGTACTTTTTTATGTTCTTAGTATTTCCATGATATGTTTATTTCTATATGTTAAAAATTTGTGAAATGTGATAATATTGATATAATTATAATAAAATAAATATATGGGTAATTGTATCTTATATTTTATATACATATATTTATATTTTATTATTTTATACATATATTAATTTAATAATTATATTCTTTGTTACTAATTTAATAATTATATATTTAATTCTACTATAGTTCTTTGAATAAATATTGAAATACAAAACATTATTATAATAAAAAACATTTAAAACATATTTTCATAAAATATGTAACATATAAACATATTTGCACATATTCATAAATATATTGGTTAAAAATATGATTAATTAAAATAAAATATCAAAGATTTACTTTTCTGATATTCATTTAAGGTGGGTGATGGTGGCGAAGAGGTGATAGTGGAGAGTCTTACCTCAGCCCCAATTCAGGTTTGGGTGTATTAGACTGACTCTCTTTTGCATATTACATTGAAAAAAATTTCACAATTTAGAAACACAATTTTGCACGATTTCAACAAGTTTATTTGTGAATATATTTTTTACAATTACCCATTGCAGATGTTTTACAGAATGCTTTCAGATGGAGTTTTATCTAGTATGTGAGTTATGGCTTAGTGCAATTTTGCACATGAGACACATACATACACTGATACACAAAATTATATTTCAATCTCGCATGTGATTAATATTTATAATGTTTTGCATAAATTTATCATGTTATGAAATTTTATAATGTAATTTTAATCAATTGTATATAAAAAAAGATGTATAAAATACAAAAAATTATTTTTTTAGAAAAAGAATATTTAATTTTCTTAAAATATGAAATTTTAATGATTGATTAAAGTTATATTATTTATTGCTCATAATATGCATATTGAAGTCAATTCAAATTAGTATATTATATCAGTTAATTTTCTTTTAAATTAATTTTCTTTATTTTTTTTTCCTCTGCAATGCTATAAAGAAATAATATATATATTTTTATAATATATTTAAATAATAATACTTTTTTATTCATGCCTTGTGTTAATTACAAAAAAACAAAATTAGTTAATGAAAATAATGCTTAAATTATCTAAAAATCTGTTTTATTGAAATAAAAACTTTTTTTGATTATTTCTGATATAGTTAAAATATCATATATATCTAAAGAAATTAATAATTTTATATTTTACTGCATTTATAATTACATATATATTATATATATCATTTAAGATTGAGAGTATGTGTATTTTTTATTCAATTATTATTTATAGGTTGCTGAATCCAAACGTCTTAAAAGTTTAGTTACAATGGCTGGTCCAGATATTATTTGTGTAGGTGCTGGAAAAGAATCTCAAGAAGTTTTAAAGGTATTTAATTGCAATTTAACAATGATTTTTTATCTGTTTATATTTATATATATATATATATATATATATGTTATTTGTAACATAGAGAATTGAGAGAGAAGCAACTTATAGTTACCAAACATTAACTGTGCCTGAAGATGCTGCAGCCAATGTACTTTATGTGAATGGAACATTGATTCACAGATCAGAAGATGAAATTCCACAATCAAGTAAAGTTTTTGCAGAAAAAATTGAATTTCCAACTAGATCATTACGTATGTCTGAATTAGCAAAGGTCAGTTCTGGTTTGACTTCTTGTTGTTTATTAGTACGTAGACCCAGACATATTCGCAGTATTTAAACTAAGAATTGAAAATATACCTAGCATAAGTGCTAGAATTATATATTGATGTGAATTATAAAATCAAGAGTTTAAATATTTCTAATAGAAAATGATATCAAAATGCTGTGCAAAAACATTAACATAATGACGTAGCATGTATACGTCGCTCTAAAACTTTCATAACTATTTTAATGTGAACAGAAAAGATTATTTTATAATTATTTTATAAAAAAATTATCTTAATATAAAAGAGATTTTATATAATTAAGAAGATTAATATATTTGATTTTAAGATATTTACAATAGAAATAATATATTAAAATTTTATTAATTTAATTTATAGATTTATATGATATAAAATCATTATACTTATCTTGCCATTAATGTGAGATTTATTTTTTTTAAGATTTTATCATGGCAACATTAGATATATATATATATATTTTATATTTTTATGATTTCAAACATATTTTATCAATTAGTTACTACCTTATATTTTACTTGAATAATATGAATGTTTATTCATAATAAATTTATATCAAAATATCATAGAAATTGATATTGCACAAAATTTTTTTTACAAAGACAAAAAATACTTTAAAAAATTAATTTATAAATTAAATAAATAAATCAAAAAAATTTTTAATGTAGCACAAAAAAAACAAAATCATAAAATTAAAATACAATAATAATAAACTACATTTATATCTTCTACTTTTGATATCTTATGTTATATAAATAGAAATCAATTATTAGACAGCTATTAAAAATCAATTATCAGTATTCTAATATCTTGAATGCATTTGCTACTAGTCTATAAAAAGTGTTCATTTAATTATTCAAATAGAGCTCTTTTATAATTCAATTATATACTACAAAATTAATGATATATAAAAGCACTGATAGTTAAAAGTTAATGCTGATTCACATTATAGCAAAGTTACATGATTAAGAGTCTACAGAGCAAAAAAAAAAAAAAATAAATAAATAAATAAATAAATAAAACTTGTGTATAAAAACAAATTTCATATATACAATATATATTGCAACAAGCTTAAATTGTTTTGACAGAGTTATAATAATAGTAGAAAATTAATAATAAAATTTGCAGTACTATAATATAATTTTTTAATATTCTTTAAAGTCATGACAATATTATAATAAGTTTATTGTATTTTTATACATTTTAATGTGCATTTTCATATTAATCCATATGTTTGTATTTATAATTTTTATCTTCTTTTTATTATAAAAATATTGCATTTCTTTGAATTTTGTGATAAAATCAGTTTTGCAATGAATATTTTATAAATTGTAACAATTGTAACTTAGATTTGGTATTATTTAATATGTTTTTTTAAAAAATTTTCCAAAGTATATAGGCTATAAAATTGTAAACAAAATAAAAAATATATACTATATATATGTTATAATCTTAGTTCTGATTAATTTCCTTTTCAAAAATGTATATAAATATATTTATTATTAAACCAATTAATAAAATAATAGTTTTATTTAAAAAAAAATTTATGTATTTGAAAACTTTTATATCGTATTTTTCGTACGAACAAAATACGTATGTGCGCGTGCATATGTGTATATATATGTGTGTGTGTGTGTGTGTCAAAAATTCATATATAATTTTATCTTCTTTATCTACATATGTATAAATAGATATCTACATATGTATCAATCGTTTTTTTACACTAAAATGAATATTTTCTTTTTCAAATTTGTGTTTTAAAAATTTGCTTATAATCATTTAAAATATTATATATATTTTTTAAATAAATAAATTTAATATAATCTATTATCGAAATTTTAAATAATTGTAAGCAAGCATGTAACATGTATTAGTAATTGTACAATTTATAGTATATTATATTATTATTTATTTTAAGTATTTATAAGGATGTTTTTTTACAATTGGTGGATGGAAAACATTTCGAAATTTAGGAACAATTATTGTGGCAAATGTGTTGTTAAAAAAATAATACAGTCTTGCTGCATTCATTATATTCAATATATATATTCAAAAATTGACACTTACTAAACACACTTGAATATTACTGCTAACTCATTCAAACATCTGCCTTTTTGATATAAATATATAAAGGCCTCTTTCTATTTTTATCATATTCCACGGCAGTTCATCTATTTTATCTCTTTATCTTCGCATTCATGACAATATTTTAAGTCATTGATAAAATAAAATACTTTAATTTCAATATCATATAATGCACAAGTCTTGTTATTTATTTTATATTATTAAGAATAAAAAGTTAAAACAGATGTGTGATTTCCTCGAACAAGTAAAAATGGTGGCATATCACGTGTTAAAGTTTCGAGCCAAGCCATATAGAGAGGTGCTGAAACAGCACCCTTTCGAGGCATTGGCAATGTCCTAAAGAAGAAATAAAATAAAATAAAATTGATTTAAAATAATTAAAAAAATCATTAAAAATATTAGTTTGTTTTTATAATTTTACTTACATAACTACTAAATTAGCGTCCATCGAATTTTCAAGTAATAATTCTCTTAAACGTAGATGTCTATTTGTTTTTTCTTTCATAGCAATTAATTCAGAATCTTTGATAATATCTGAAAATAAATTAATTTTTAATATTTTCTCATTTCATTCAATTAAGTTATAAAAGTTATAAAAATTTCATAAAAATAATAATACCATCATTCATTGTTTTTGTATTTTCTGTTTCTTGAAAATTTGCTATTAATGAATCAAAGAAACTTTTGGTAGTATTCTGTGCTGGTTTTGAAATATCTGGTATAACTTTCAATGCAGAATAATCTATTCTGAATTTCGATAAAAGACTTGCCATACTATAATAATAAAGCAATAATATAATTAATAAATTTGTTTTATCTATTTTCATTTATAAGAATATATCTATTACTTACTTTCTTTGTTCATATTCGAGTTCAGAATTTTTATTTGCTAAGGCAAAAACTCTTAATTTATTATTAGACCAATTACGTCTTGTACTGATAATATAGGGTAATAAAAGAGTTAAACCACCATCATCATACAACCACCATACATCTATAGTACCCTTTTTTTGTTTACGTTGGAATTTTGTTACAGCATTAAGTATATCTTTCGCTATGGGTAGAAAATTTTGTCGATTTTCACGTTGATCTTCTGCAGTTGGATTAGGATATTCATTGATCATTTTAGATCTTCTTGGAGCTGGACTTCCAGGAATAGAAATATCTGATGTACTACTGGCTATAGAAATAAATATTAATTAAAAAAAATATGATAAGAAAATATAAGAAAAAATTCAGTATTTATAAAAAAAAAATATTAAGTATTATATAAACCTTGACTAAGTTGAGAAAAGCTTTGATTCCCTGGAATTGTTTGGATATTTTTCTTTTGTTCTTCAGCATCTCCTATACTACAATCTAAACCTTCACTTATTCGAAGAAGAGCTACTGCTATATGCATATCTAAAGCTTTACTATATAAAAAAAAATACCACAAAATTTTTATTTTTCTTAATTTGTTTATAAATTCAATATGTATGTATGTACTCACTGCATTATATTAAAGTACATATTTAAATTTTCTCGAGGACAAGTTGCCCAGTCTTGTTTATAGCCCATTAATAAAATATTAGGCTTCATTTTTCCTAAACCGGCAGCTTGTAAAAGAGAAGTAGTGCCATCTTGAAAATTTGCACCATCCACCAAAGAATAAAATGCTTTAATTTTATTTGCTCTAAACCAAGAAGTACAATTTGCAATCATGGAATTTCGAGTCTTATATGATATTGGTGTCTAAAATATGGAAATTTAAATGTATTATTATATAAAGAATATGTAATAATTTTAATTAAAATATACTATACCTCAATAATATGGCCACAAATAAATAAACTATTATTTTTAGTAATATGATGTGCAAAATCAATAAGCGCTGATCTTGCACTTGGAGTGCCACTTAATACTAACAGTTGAGGTCTATAATTTTTAACATGTTCTTCAACTCTATCTAATTGTTGAACAGCATTTAAGGCATTATTGTATGTTTGGGCTTGTGTTGTAGAACCCCAATTAACATCTACAAAATAATTATAATTAATTTATGTTATTTTTATGTATTTATCTTCTTATGTAATCAAAATACTTATAAAATATTACCTGGTTTTCTATAAGAAACTATTAAATAAAGTGTTAATACTATAAATAATGTGATCAACGCTGTCCACCATGAGATCAAGAACATCACAGAAACACAGAGAATAGCACCAGCAAGACTTAGCCACATATTATAATACTAAAATAAAAGATATAAAAAAAATCATATTACTATCATAAAATAAATAAAGTTTTTTCTTATTAATAAATTTAATGCAAATTTTACTTTAAACGTTGGTCTCCAACCAATTGGTTTTGCCAACGAAGCATGGAAAGTGCTAAAATTAATAAGAGTGTAGGCAGCCAAAAAAAAATTTGAGATCAAAGGAGCTATAGCATTCAATTCTCCTGAAATAAATAAAAATTTTTATTTAAATAATAAATATAAACAAATAATTTGTTTATTTATATATTATTTATAATTATTGTTTATTTATTAAAAGTATAAAAGAATAACGCTCACCGATTAAAATAAAACCAACTGCGATTATAAAAGTGAGAAGATAACCACGAATTGGTTCTTTATCTTTGTCGCCACTAAACCATGCTATTCCAGGATATAATTTATCGAGACAAAGTGCCTGAAATACTTTAGGTGCGGAAACCAATGATGCTAAAGCGCTTGATAAAGTAGCTGCAAAACATCCAGCATAAATAAATGGTCCAAATGCAGAGACCAATTCGATCACCTGAAATAGTTTTTTATGAAATTATCAATATAAAATTTAAATATTTATTTACGTTTTTTTTACATAATTTTTACATAATTTAAAAAAATATACCTGAAAACTATTATGGCTACCATATTGACAATTTCCTGTACAATTAAATTTTGTACTATATATACTCCATATTATTTGATTGGAATTTACAATAATTGAAGATTCGGTTGTTTCATTAGTTGTGTTCGAACTTGATAAGGCAGTATACGAACTATTGAAAATGTTCCACAGATCATTAACATCGCCAGATGCATCTCGCATAACTGAGCCGCCAACCATAAGCGCCATAAAGAGGTAAGATATAGTTGTTAAAAGAATAGCTAATAATGTTCCTTTAGGAATAGCCGTTTGCGGATCCTAAAAAAATCGATTTTATTTAT